GGGGGAAGGGCGCGGTGCGGCCACGCCGGGGGCAGCGGAGCCGCACGGTGCCGCCCCGCACGGCGGACGGCTCGTACCTGCGTGGGGGAGGCGAAGGTGAAGGCCATGGCCGCCGGCCCGGCCGCAGCATCAGCGTAGGAGCGGGCGCGGGGCGGCGGCAGCGCCGCGAGGCGGAGGAGCTGCCGGGCGCGGATCATGGCGGGCGGCGGCGGCGAAGGGCGAGCGGACGGCGGGCGGCGGGACTACAGCTCCCGGCGTGCTTTGCGCCGAGGACTACGCGGCCCGAGGGGCAGCGCGCGCGCGCGTGCGGCGCCGGAAGCGTGACGTCATCGCGGGCGCGGGGGCGCCTGGGAACTGTAGTTCCGCGCCCCGCCCGGTTGTTTACCCGCGCTGTTTACTGGAGGGTCGGCTCCGCGCCCGGCCCGGGCTGCGGGTGGGGGCGGCGCTGCGGGGCGGGCGGGGGCGGCGCGGGGCTCGGGGCCGGGCGAGCGCGGGGCTGCGGGACGGGCTGGGCCGGTGGGGGGCGCGGCCATGCGGGGTCGGGGTGCGGGCGGCGCCGGGGTGCGGGCCGGTCCGGTGCGGGCGGCCCCGGTGCAGGCGGGCTCGGGGCAGCCCCGTCCCCACGTGACGCCCGCACCGCGCGGGGGCGGCTCCGGTTCATTCATAAATCCCGGGGCCGCCCGAACCGCACCGAACGCAGCGGCGGCGATGGAGCCCCGGCCCCGGCTGTAGGTGAGTGCCTCGCTCCCGCCGCTATCGCGACAGCGCCTATCGCGACAGCCGGAGCCGGCTCGAGCGGCGGGAGCCCGCCCCGCGCTGCTGCGCTCGGAAGCGCCGGGGGCTCCGGGGCTGCTGTCACCGGCGCCGCGCGCATCCCTCCCGCATCGCATCCCGCATCCCGGCCCCTTCCCTGCCCCGCAGCCCCCGCTCCCCGCCCGCTCCACGGGCAGATCCGCCCGCCGGGCCCGGACCCCGCGGAGGGGGGGGTTGGAGGGGGGGGCAGCGCGAGGGCAGCTCGGGGTCCGTCCCCGGGCACAGACAATGGCCGCGCTGTTCCCGCCGGGTCGCCATGGAGACGGAATTCCTCCATCATCGGCGATCGGCGGCGGCGTTCCCCTCTCGCCCCGGGCAGGGGGTCCCCGCGGTGCCCCCCCTCCCCCCCGAGGTGCCCACCCCCCGCTGGGGGCTGCCCGGGGCCGGGCGGGATCGGGGCTCTCCCCGCCCCCCGGTGCCCATCGGGGCCGGATCGCCCCCTCCTCCCTCCCGCCCCCGCCGCCAACCCCTCCCCGCTCCATTCACATTTTTCCCTGACCCCATTTCGGGCGCTTTGCCGCGCCCCCCCCTTCCCTCCCCCGTCCGCAGCGCAGCCCCCGGGTGAGGAACGCACGGACGGGGGCGGCGGACACGCGGCCCGGGGGGGCTCAGCGCCGTTCCGAGGGCTGCGGGGTCCGCACCGCCGCAGGGCCGGGACCCGCTCGTCCGTCTGTCCATCCGCCCCCGCTGACTCAGGCGCTGTCACAGCGCTCGGGGCACCCACCGCCCCCCCCCCCGGCCCCACCCCCGCCCCTCCCTCCCGCTCCAGCCCCGACCACACCCTCCTCCATCCCTTATCCCGGCCCTCCCCTCGGTCCCTCCCTCAGCTCCGCGGTGCCGGGCAGGGCCGGGCCGGGCAGGACCCCCTCCCGGTACCACCGCCCCCGGCCCCACCCCGCTCCCCCTTTGTCTCACACCGGCCCAGGACGTAGCCGGGTTGGATCGGACCATGAACGATGACCCGACCCCGTGGGACAACGCGACGGAGAGCAGCACGGTGAGCAGCCCCGGGGATGGGGATGGGGTGGGAACCCAGGACGCGGCTGTAGCACCGGGTACCGGGATGGGCACGGCAGCATCCTCCCCTCTGCCATCACCCAGCTGGCAGCCCCTCCCCTGCCCCGCTCAGCCGCTGCGGACACGCGGAGCTGTGGGGCTGAGCGCGGGGGTCCCGTCCCCATTCTCTCTGGGCGTGCTGCTCAGCCCCCTCCCCCCCCCCGGGCTGCGGTTGCCGTGGTGAAGGCAGCAGCAGGCCCGGGGGCGGCGGGGGAGCGCACGTCTCAGGGGAGCAGCACGGCAGCAGCCTCCGGAGGGGCCCCCGTTCCCCAGAAAAAAGTACGTGTGTGTCCCCCCCCCTCCCCCCGCACAGCATCTCACCCCTCCCTGCCCTGCGCAGGCGCTGCCCGGCGAGGTGTCCCCCCAGGATGGCTACGTGCTGCTGCTCGCCCTGCTCTCCATCTTCATCGGGGGAACGCTGGTGCTGCTCTCGGGGATCCTGATCATCTGCCGCCGCTGCTGCGAGGCCGAGCGCCGCCACTCCAGGTGGGTTGGATGAGCCACGTTGTGTCCCCAAGGCCGGTGGCACCTCGTGGCTGTGGCACCCATTGTGGTGCTGCTGTGGTTCGTTATGGCACGGGGCAGCTCTGACCGGCGCTCCCTCCGCAGAGCCAGCGATGACCCTGAGAAAACCACCACTACGTACCTGGATGACTCGCAGCAGGCCCAGGGTGAGCATTGGGGATCGCTGCCCACCTGTGATGCTGCTTCCAGGGGAGGGTGGGAAAGCGGGTCCTGGGCTGTCCCCTATTCACTGCGTGTCCTCCAGCCTCTGTCCCGGCAGCCGGCACGCAGCGGTGCAGTGAGTTCACGCAGCCTCAGCTGTGCCACTGTGGGGGGGGGGCTGTTGGCTGAGCCCTCCCTTCCCTCTCCATAGATATCACTATCAAAGTGGAGGACCCTGAGTGCCTGTCGGCCTCCAGCTATCGTGATGCAGAGAGCGAGCGGTTCCTGTCCTCCAGCTCCTCCAGCGCGCGCCGCGTCTCCTTCAACGAGGCCGCGCTGTATGAGCAGGGCAAGAAGACCCAGGAGAAGGGGCGGAGGTGAGGGCTGGGGGCCCTGGGAGGGAGGGGAGGGCTGTAGGTTGTGGGGTCGCCCCCTGACCCGCTGTGCNNCCCCCCCCCCCAGGTACACGCTGACAGAGGGGGATTTCCACCACCTGAAGAACGCCCGCCTGACGCACCTCCACCTGCCACCACCCGCCCTTAAGATCGTCACCATCCATGAGTGTGAGTCCAGTGAGAACAGCCTGGCCATGACCCCCCGCCGGCCCCCACCCAAACCCGGCTTTGCCATCTTCCAGGTGGGCACCGGGAAGGGGTGGGCATCACCTGGGGTGGGGGGCTGAAGGGTGGCGTGGGGATGGGGCTGTGGGCACAGAGCTCTGTGCAGCCCCTGATGCGCTCTGCCTGCAGCCCCCTGGGGGGGCCGTGCCGCAGCCTGGCCACGCCGTGTGCCCCAGCTCAGCGCTGCCCGGGGACACCTACAACTCCACAGCTGGAGGGAGCCCCGCCACCTCCTCTGACTCTGGGGAGGGCCCTTCGGTGAGTGTAGGGCCAGGGTTGTGCATGGCTGCTCCCGGGGCTGAGCCACCACTCACGACCCCCCCACACCTTCAGTTTACCGCAGCGCCAAGGAGTGGGAAGGGGCCAATTGTGGGCAGTGCCAGCCCCGGGGATGCCCCCCCAGCCCCCACGCAGGGCCCGGTGCTGCAGTTCTTCACCCGCCTGCGCCGGCACGCCAGCCTGGATGGGGCCAGCCCCTACTTCAGGATCAAGAAATGGAAACTGGAGAGCACCCAGCGGGCATCCAGCCTGGACACGAGAGGTGGGGGCCGGGGGATCCGAGGAGGAGGGGGGGCTGTGCCCCTCTGCAAGGATGTGACTGTTTTTCCCCTCCCTCACCCTCGCAGGGTCTCCCAAGCGCCGCCAGTTCCAGCGGCAGCGCGCAGCCAGTGAGAGCATGGACCAGGAGGATCGCGACCCCCACCAGACCGACATCATCCAATACATCGCCCACACCGACGACGTCGCCTTCCACCCCGCGGGCGGCCCCTTCCTGCCCTCCCCCAGCAGCCCCCCTCCCTCTCTCGGCAGGTATTTTTCAGTAGATAGAGGGGACTGGGATGGGGGCGGCGGCCCGTGCATGGCGGGGGGGTGGGGGTCCCACCTTTAGGGGGCGACGGGTTCGGGTGGGGGTCCGCACGGTGGGCTCCGCATCGCAGCGATGGGGGCCGTCCCTGGCGTGACCCCGCCGCCCCCCCCGCCTCTCAAACTCAGGTTAGAGCCGGGCGAGGACAGCCCCAGCGAGGCGGCGGCCCCGGAGCAGCGCAGCGTCGGCCACGACATCTGGAGCCTCCGCGCCTCGCTGGAGCTGTACGCCGCGTCGGAGCGCAGCAACGACCAGGACTCGGTGCGCAGCGACGGAGCGGACAGCGTCTCGTCGGGCGGCGCGGCCCCCTGCCCCTCCTCCTCCCTGGACGAGGCCGAAGGCCCCGAGGAGAAGCTCTGGGCCCGGCCCAAGGCGGAGGATTCGGAACCCGGCACGCGCAAGCTGCTGCAGATGGACAGCGGCTACGCCTCCATCGAGGCGCCGGGCCGGGGGGGCGAGGAGGGGCCGCCCGCGGATCAAACGGCGTCGGAGAAACGGATCTGCTTCACCAGCGCCGGGCGGAAGGGCACCATCTTCGAGAGCTTCGAGGGCCGCGAGCCCGGCGAGGAAGAGGAAGAGGAGGACGAGGACGAGGAGGAGGAGGAAGCGCGGCGCGGCGCGGTGGGCGGGGGGGGTCCGATGCGCACCCACAGCCCCCTGGCCTGGTCACCCTACGGGCAGATGCTGGCGGGCCGGGACGCGCCGTCGCCGAGGAGGGATTACAGCATCGACGAGAAGACGGACGCGCTGTTCAACGCCTTCGTGCGGCACGACCCGCAGTTCGACGAATCCCCGCCTCGCGGAAAACATCGCTCCCGCACGCACCTCCGCAAGCAGTGGCAGCACGCCAAGCAGTACAGCGACCCGGGGGTTCGGTACCCCGCGTTGGAACGGCACCGCACCCCTCTGCGCCGCGGGGACAGCGCCAACTCCCCGCTGGACGCCCGATTCCACGGGCCGCTGCCCCGCATCGTCAGCGCCGGGGACGAAGAAGCGGCCGAGGCGGAATCCGGCGCCGCTCCGCTGCCCGAACCCGAGATTCAGGTGATCGTGGAGGAGCCCGGAGAGGAGCACCGGACCGGGCCGGAGCGCGGAGGCGGGGAGGAATGCCCCGGACCGGGGCGGTGCGCGGAGCCGCGTCCCGACGCGGAGCTGCTGGACAAGATTGCGGGAGGCATCGAGGAGCGGCTGTACGGGCATCTGCGGAGGGAGGCGGAGGGGCTGCGGGCGGACACGGAGAGCGCGGTGGTCCTAACAGCCGGCGATGCCCCCCCCGATCGCAGCCCCGCGTAGGGCGCACGCGGTGCGGGTCCGCGCGGTGTGCGGGGGGCTGAGCCGAGCCTCACCGCGGGGCGGCGTCGCGCCGGCAGGGCGGGGGGCGGCGCGGAGGGAAGCGTTCCGTTCCGCAGCCGCGGTGGTTCCTACGAGCAATAACGGCGCTGTGCCCGGAGCCGGGAACCGGCACGGAGCGGGGGGGGCGGCCCCCGTGGGGCAGAGCGGCCGTGGGGTGAGGGGCCGCCCCCCCTGCCCCCCGTCTTCTCGCCCTTCTGTTCCCCCTCCCCGTCGAGGAAGGCGATGTTTTGGGTCGCACGGCGGGTTGGCGGTTGGGGTGGGGTTTTATTGGGGTGTTTGTGCTCCCAAGGACGGGTGGCAAAAAAAAAAAAAGGACCGAACTGCCCCACATCGACCCGTGCGGCGGTACGGGGAGGGGGGCGGGTTGGGGATTGGGGGGGCGGCGGTGCCCCCCCGTTGCATGCGAGCACAGAGGTCGGGCCGCGCCTTCCCCTCTGCAGAGCCTCTGCCCGAAGCACCACCTCCAACTCCGCGTTTTTAAGTCTATCAATGAAGGAAAAGAAAACCAAGCAAACCAAAACCAAAGGCTGTGAGTGCTGTGAGCGCCGTCCTCACCGTGCGGATCCCCACCGTTCCGTTCCCCCCTCCCCCCTCCCCACACTCCTTCAGGTTCAGAGGAAGGACAGGAGCCCACCTCTCGCTTTTCACTTTATTATTGGTTTTTTTTTTTCTTAAAAAAAAGAAAAAAAAAAAGGAAAAAAAAAAAAAAAAGACGCTGAACGCACCCATTCCCTTTTCCGAGCCCTTTACAGCATGCAGGTTTAATAGAGTTTTGCTTTGTCTTAATAACCTGGGTTGGTTTTTTTTTTTGTTGTTGTTGTTGTTTTTTCCTCATCTGGTTTATTTTAAACACATCACGATGTGTAGGAATCTCTAAATATACCGCAAATATAAACAAAACAAAAAAAAAAAAAAAGAGGAAAATATATAATATATAACAGTAGTCTAAAACATAAAGTGCACGGCAATGGCTTTGCACGACTTCTACGCAGCCAGGGCGAGGGGGGGGGGGGGGGGGGGGGGGGGGGGGGGGGGGAGGAAAACCCCCCAGCCCCGCTCATCCCACCCTTCCATCGTGAAATTAAAAAGAGAATCAGTGTCTTGATTGGCAAAGAGTGATGGGGAGGAGGGCAGATTCCAGCCCCCCCCCCCAGGCTGGGGTCCTCCATCCCAGGTGGGCTGTGGGGGCTCCCCGCAGCGCTGGGCTCCGGGCACTGTCCATAGCGAGGGGCTGGGGGGGGGGGCAGGGAGGGTTCCTTGGTGGGGGGGTCCTCGGTGAGCACAGGCTGCCCCCAGGAGACGCTGAGCGGGGCGAGGATGCTGGGATGCTGTGGGAGAATGGGAGAGAGGGGTCAGGATGGCCCAACGTGCTCCACAGCCTGCTGAACCCAAAGGAAAAACGCAGCCCACAGAACCCCAGCTTTCTGCTCTCAGAGGTTTGATGGCACTGAGCAGAGGGCAGCGTTAGAAGCAGGCAGCCTCCAGCCTGGCAGCCCCCACCCCATATAAATAGGAGCCTCAACCAACCCTGGGACCCCCCCCCAGGCAGAGGGCTGAGCCCTGAGCAAAGAGCAGCTGGGGGGCAGCCAGCAGCTATGGGGCAGCAGAGCAGCAGCTCCCCGGGGAGCCCCAAGCAGAGGCATCCATCCGCTGGCTGGCAACGCAGTGCCTCCCCACACAGGTGACTCACTCCTATCCATGAATTAAAGATTAAAGCCGAGTGCGGGTCTGACAGCTGCAGGGGGGAGGAATGGGCTTTTATTTCTGGCTTTTTTTTTCTTTTTTTTTTTTCACACCACAAAGCTGGTCGTGATCCAAACAGATAACACAGCCTCAGCCCCACGGAGCGCCGGTGACGAGAGTGAGCGTGAGGCCGGGGGTGGATGAGCACTGAGCATTGACTCATCACTGCCTCATTTATGAATGAGGGGTGGGAAGGAAGGGATGGGGCTGCGGAGGGAGCCGGAAGGATGAGGGGGGAGCGGGGAGGGTTCAGCATCCCTGAGCATCAGAGAAAGATGTGTGTGTGTGTGGGGGGGTCTGGGCACAGCTGTGGGCAGCACAGTCCTACAGCTGGCCCTGGAGAGCAGGGGAGACCCCTGGAGCAGGGGAGACCCCTGGGGAGGTCCAGTGCTCTGCTGCAGCCTCCATACATCACAGCTTTGCTCCCTGCCTGCAGGAGGGTGGCAATGCTGGGAGCAGTGAGGTGGAGAATGGGGGTCCCGGTGCCAGAGGAGGGGGTGATGGGGCACAGAAGTGGGTCTGACTGTAGCACAGGGGGGGGGGTGAGGACAGAGCAGAGCCACGTGCAGGAGCGCTGCAGGACCCCCATTGGCACAGAGGGGGGGGTTTGCACCTCCCCACGCTGCAGAGCACCAGGCAGCGATGCTGGCAGCATGGAGGGGGCTCACCCCCCCAGCCCCCCACCCCGACCCATACCTGTGCAGAGCGCGATGCTCCCGGCTCACTGCTGCTTGCAGGTGGAGAGCTTGCGGATCTTGCTGCTGGCAGAGCAGGCCTTGCGCGAGGGGTTGGAGGAGGCGCTGGCCCTGCGCTCCGCCTTGGATTTGGTGCTCAGCTGTCCCGGCTCCGTTCCGTTCATGCAGATGGCCTTGGGCAGCCCCCGGCCACGGCTCTGCCCGTTCTGCCCTGCCTCCTCCTCAGGCACCTGTCCTGCAAGGGAAGGCAGCGTGAGGCCGTTGCAGCGCTCGCCCCACGTGGAGCACCGTGGCCATCCTGTGCTCTCCCAGCAACCAGAAGAGAGAAGAAGGAAAGTGAAGGTAAAGGGTGAGCAGGTTTCACAGTGCTCCAGCTGTGGAAAGGCACTGCCCTGCTGCAGGGATGGGGCACAGCCCTGTGCCCTGCAATGGATGGGGTCGGTTTGTTCCAGCCACCCCAGAGCAGCTCTCTCCCTCTGCCCAGCTCAGTGCAGTGACTCAGCACTGGGGGCACAGAGCCCCCAAGAGAGGTGTTGCAGTGCTGTGCAGCTGGTGCAGGCTCCAGTCACGTTGCTGTACCTGGGGAGTGACAGAGGGTCTCTGACCAGGGCAGGAGGGGCCCCGCCGTGCTCCCACTGCTCTGCAGCCCCGTGGGGCTGATGGAAGGGCTCGTCAGGTCCCCCTGCTCCCCCACCCCGGATCCAGCCACGGCAATTTCCTTCCACCAGGAACGTCACGCTCCAGGGCCCTTCAGTTATGACTCAGAGGTTTGAGTGGAAGCGAGAGCTGTAAGATGATTATGTATAATTTTCTTTAAAGGATGCTCCATCCTTTCTCCTCCAAGGCCGAGCGCAGCATCAGCTCCATCCGCCAGCTCTCACCCCATGGCACGGGGCAGAGGGGGCACTGGGAAGGGCTGGGGATCCCCTCTGCATGCTGTGTGCACACAGGTTCTGCTCCTTCCTGCTCCCCACGGGGCAGCGCATCCCACAGCACATCCTCCTCCTCCCTGGGTGGAAGTCATTCAGAAACATGAGGGGACATCACTGAGGTCTCTTGGTTCAGAGTCATCTTCAGCACTTACCTCAGCCCCAAAAAGCTGCAGGGATCCAAAGCCCCAGCCCTGCACCCACAGTGCCAGCTGGGGGCTGGGTGCTGCAGCAGAGACCCCAGCACCCACCCTCAGAGCACAGCTGGGCACTTATCCTTCCCCTCCCTTGGCCGGGCTGCTCCGCTCAAGGCAATGAACATTTCTGACTGGGGAGGGGGAAAATATCCCAACAGTTCCTTTCTCTTTTGTGTGCCTATCCCCTCCTCCCAGCAAAAAGAACAATCCCAGGAGGCCGTTATGGATGCTGAGGAGGGAGGACGAGCTGCAGGCTAATTTTACCTCCTTCACCACTGACAGTTGCTGACGTTCAAATTAATGAAAATAACAATTCAGCATAGGATGAAATCTTGGCAACTGCCTGCCCCCGCGGAAGCCGTGGCCAGCGCTGCGTGCGCGAGCAGCCACATCCTACCGACCATCATCAGCCCAAGGCTAAAAATAAGAGAGAGGGGAGGGCTGAGAGGTGGTGAGCACGCGCATCCCTGCTGCCTCTCACGGCTCTTAATGGCTCCATCCCGCTCATTCAGGCACAGAAAAGGTTCCAAAATAAAACCGTGGAGATCTTTTGAATCACCGCATTTGTCAGAGGCGCACACAGGGATGCGCGGTGAGAAACGCACCTCCCCGACACCAGGGTTTGTTTTCCAGCCTCAGAGCCACTGCTATGGGAGGGGACACAAAGCTCAGAGCCCCACACAGCTGCCACGGGGGGAGCAGAGCAAAGCAGAGCACCTGAACACAAACACAGCACCACAGCAGTGAGATGCTCCCAGCCCTGGTGAGCAGCTCCATGGGGAGGCACGCACTGCTCTCCCCTCTGCTGAGATGTTTAACACCAATTGAACCAGGGGCACGTCATGTTTAAGGCTCTGCAGAGCTGCATAAATCTTTCAAGAGCCCTTTAAGAATAATGGCACGTTCTCAGAACCCCTTCTTCCTCTGAACTAAGATTTAATGAGGTTTCCTCCTCCCCTCCCCACCTGAACACCCACTCCTGTGAGTCAGGCATGCTCCTGCGCTGCCTGCCCAGCAGAACAACTGAACTCACCTGTCACTTACAAGGGGGCTGGCTTCTTTATTTTTACTTTAATACGGTGGCACTGTTAGAAATGTGACACTGGGATAGAGCTGAGCAACGTCAAAGGATCCTGGGAGAAGCCTTGGGAAAGACTAATGACAAAGTATCCTCTGTGTGAGCTGCCCCTGCTGTACAAACTGCACAGAGCATCCTGCTGGGCTCCTCCTCACCCCACTGCTCCCACAGGGAGTCTACACCAGCCCTGTTATCCTTTTGTGGTGTTTTGGCCAAGATCTCTTTAAAATAAGGCTGCTAAGCAGCTCTGCAAGCAGCCTTAGGTGACTTGTCTGCAGGAGAAAACTGTATCCTGTGCTCCAATACTGCCTGTGGTTTGGGAACACGAATTCACACGTGTTCACACTGCCAAAGACTCCCTGTGACAGCTGCTCAGAGAGCAGCACCGCAGCATACAGCCCAGAGAAACCCTCCTCCTGCTGCACAGGGATCCCTGGGGCTGTAGCCAGACTGCAGGGTTTGCTGTCCCCCAGGAACCCACCTGTCAGGGAGCATCCAGCTCAGTCCATGATCGCAGAACATGCAAGTGCTGGATGAGGGTCTGGAGACTGGCTGGTGGAGGGTGCTTTCTTTCACTGCAACCCATTGCAAAATAGCTCTTGAAATAACTGGGAGGCTAAAACTCATCACCATGCTGCAGTTAAGTGACACGAAACAGCATTCAGCCCACCCAGCCACTGTATAATATGGGAAGTATTGGTCTATGGGGCCACTACTGAACTTCAGCTCTCTTACCCCCTCTGAAACAGCACATCTCCATAGAGAATTCAAACATCTTCCAGTAATTTGCCTGTCGTCTTCTGATTTGACAGCCCTCACTTGGGTTTAAATAGCACTGTCTGCATGAGGAGCATGTAACAGCACTGTTCCAGAGGTGGGCAGAAGCACCCAAGCAGGGGAACATCACCCCAGCATAGGCGTGGGCACCAGGCTCCTACACAGCAGGCACTGCTGCATGGTGCACAGCCCCAGCTCCCTGAGCAGGAGCAGCAGCAGGGAGGTGACACAACAACGTGCAATGCCCAGCTGCAGGGCTGAGGCAGAGACTGAGCAGCAACCAGAACGCTCACATCTGGCCTGAGCCTGCAGGATGTACAATCACTCTAATTTTCCAAGTCTTCCTAAGTTTCCACTTTTTAATCATAAAGAAAAGTACAAATCAAGCAGCAACACAAGCTACTCAGCACTGCAGGAATTGAAGAGAAACCAAACACTTCAGCTAGAGTGAGAAGAAGCAGGATTCTGTGGGGCAGGTCAGCAGGAGCAGCCTGGGGCAGAGTAACCGCCTTTAATGTAGGTCATGTAGAGTTTTCCTTCTCAGCCAGCCTTTGGTTAAAGGCACCAGCCATCAGCTCAGGCCTCTGGAAGCCCGAGAGGGCAGTGCTCTGGGGCCTAGGCTAACCTTCACTCCTCTTCTGTGCCTTTTTCCAATGGGAGCATAGCTTCTTCCTGCACACAGCTTGTCACGGCTTCCCAGCGCTCCGCTCTCTCCTCTACGCCCTGCCTCAGCTTCCTGCTCTGCAGCTGGGAATGCACAGGGAAGCAACAGGGCACTGTTAGAGACATGCACAAGCTTATTTCTTTATGCTGATGCCAAAGCAGCAGCAACAGACCATCCTGTGGGCTTTTGGCTTCGGCTGTGAGCTGCAGCAGATCTGCTCTTGCAGCTTCTCAGCCAGCAAGCCTGGCCCTCCAAGGGAGGTTATGGGCAGACCGAGCAACTGTACCTCTTTTCCTTTCTGAAGCAGCTTCAAGAGGTGGAAAACGTCGAGTTTAAAATATAAAATGGGGCTTTGAGTGATACTCGTTATAGCTTTTTCAAGCCCAGGCATTTTTTCACACCTTGAGCACTTGAACATGAGCTGTCGCTGGCAGGAGCCCTTGCAGAAGGAAATGGGTCACCCCTGACAACACAGAGGCACCTGGCAAGTCCTATTCTGTACTTAGCAAGGCCCTAGCAATCAAGTGCATGCTTCTGAGAGCCTACCACATTTTTTAAAAGGATGCCTCCTTTCATAAAGCCCCCATAGGCTAAGAGGGAAGGTCCATCTCTGGTCACACTCTAGTAGAAAACCCTATGGGATGTAATAGAGCAAAGGACAGAGCTCTGCAGGTCACCCAGCTGGCAGCAGGACATCATCTCAATTAGAAAAGGTTATAAATTACCCAGTTGTCACCAGTGAATCAGCACTTGGAAACACATCTGCTTCACTTTGATGTGGCTCCCTTCATCTCAGGAGGCTCCACCTACAACCACATACTACCCATGTGTCTGCACAGCTGAGCAGAGCCCAGCTGGGGCTGGCATCCAGGGGTGACACCCAGCACAGGGCCCAGTGAGCCTGGCTCTAAGCTAAGCTGTCTCAGCTCTTCTCCCCTTGGAAAGCTCTGCCAGGAGGGGCAATTGGGGTTCTCTCAAAGAAGTTTCAGGTATTCCCAAAGGAGTTCTGGGCACAAGGAGGTTTATTGCTATTCAAGGCCTAATGCTTAATTATTCTGTGCTCGTGCTTCAAAAAGTTTTCACCTAACCAGAAAATGAAGAGAAAAAGCAGGGCCTTCAGGTATGAGAATCCTGCACAGGTAAAAATCAGACTCACTGAGATCCACAGAAGCCAACTGAGCTGTCATTAAGGAAGAAACCAAAGCAGCGTGGTTAGCCTTAAGCTACAGAAACCAGGGCTTTCCCTGTGCCATGGAAAGCTCAGCCAAATAACTCCTGTCACGCCGTCATGAAGTGAATCAGCACTGCTGCTATGAGAGCTGGAAAGCTGAGCTTTGCCTTCAGTGGCAGCACGGAAATGCTTTCAGTCTGCTGCTCACAAGTGCAGAGGGGGCAGAGAGAGAATAGAGCTCAATCACCACCTCTCTCTAAAAGCCACATGGCTGAATCCACACCCCCCTCTACTTACTTGGTTGGCTTACCTTAAAACAACAGGAAGTCCCCCCATAAAGAAAGGGACAATTCTAACACTGAGTTACCAAGACTAGAGCATTTAAAAAAAAAAAAAAGGCTCAGCACAAGGCTACAAGCACCCTTCTCTCCCAGATGTGCCATCTATTCTGAACACTGAGTCATTTCAGGGCTGTGCTCCAAAATAACTCAGTGAGTCTAGCAAAGCCAACCAAGAGAATTAAGTGTGCTTGAACAACAGTTCAGCAGGAGCAAGCTATTACTGGATGAAGGAAGGAAATCAGCAGATGGGCAGCACACAGGAAGGGACATCCTGGCTGATTAAATAAAGGACCAAAGCATCCAGAGCATCACGGCTCACTCACTGAGTCATTCACATCACTTAATAATCAATACTCTCTTCCACTGCCGAGAGGATGCATTCAGATCCCAAGACCTTTCCTAAAAAACTTTAAATGGACAAAGGAAGAGTCACCTCTGTCCTTCTCATCCCAGCATCATTCTCTCCTACCTGGTACTGTGAAGTCCTGAGTGTAGATGATATCATCTTCAATGTCATACAAGTCATCATCTTCGTCCTCATTGTAGCCATGCAGATCTTCCAGATAAGGCACCGCCGTCATACTTCTCCACTTGTCCTTTGTTTCTGGGCTAGGAGGTATGGGCACCAGAGTCTCTGCCTGAGCATGTTTCTTACGAAACCAACTACAAAGAGTCCAAGAGTAAAATTTCATCAGGACAGCTTCACTTTTCAGAAGGCAAAAAGAAATCCTCAGCAGTATGGGATGACCCCATTCCACCCCGATTCAAAGGTACGTGGAGTTAGAGAGAACTTCCAAGGCAACATCATGCCACTGCAGGTAGAGCATATCCACGGTTCCCACATTCAGAACCATCTCCTGAACACAGTCTGGTTTCTTGGTGGGCACTGATATCAACCCCCTCCCCCTTGCACTGTGGGCTGGATGCCATTTGAGCACTGGGACCCATTCTTCCTGGTCTTGCACAGCAAGAAAAGAAACAATCTCATCATATCAACTGCATCTTGCTAAGTGCTGTGTGGACACCACTAATCTGCACAAAGGGACACAGACCCTTCCACAGCAGGAGGCAGCCTTTTTTCCCCTGCTCTTATTTCCTACTGTAGGCCACCAAAGTGTGCTACCTTGGAATCAACTGAAAACACCCCTCAAAAAGCAGAGAAAGCTAAAAATATCACTGTCTGTTCACCTCTTGCAAAAGTGGCATTCTAATAAAGTCACTCAGCAAAAGGAAGGAGTTAGGAGATGAATGAAAGCATAACTACTGGGATGAAACAATTGGGATTGAAAGGAGGGATGGACCTTTGCTCAAAGCCCTGCCTCACAGCTGGGACCCTCCAGCATTCCTCTGCAATGAGATTGAATTGTGGAGAGAGGCAGCACCTTGCCTCTTGCAGTACCAAAGAGTGAGGCAGTCCCTGCTTCAGCAGGTGAAGTTCCAACAGGAAAGCTGTTGTGGCTTGTCACTGAGCACGCTGCTGTCATGCACAGAACCACATCTGGCCCTTCCCTGCTCAGTCTGCATGGAGGAATGAGCCCCAGTCGTTGGGAGGTCAGCACATCCCAGCCAGACACTGACAAGGATCCACCAACGTTCCTACAGCAGCAGCCTGGTGAAAGCAGCATCTTTGGGAAGGCGACAGAATGTGTTAAGTTTGACCTCTGGTGCACAGAGCAGCATTACAAGAGCGAAGGAAAGTTCAAGAAGCCAACAGGACCAGCATAACTAGATTTGGACCAATGGTTTTAGCAAATCCTGTGGCTGGCTTCCTTAGTGATGAGCATGGCACACAATGCTCCTAATTTGATCATTTGATTTCCTTTCCTTGGGAGACTGCTTTCATCAAGGAACTGACTGCCAAGATAGCACACATCGCCTGGGCTGACCCAGCCTGGCAGGAGCATCCAGCACAGCCATCAGCTATTCCTGCCAGGGGCACTGGAGCTAAAGGGAACCAAACTAAATGCCAGGGACCCAAAGAGAATGGAATATACTGGAGAAATGAGATCAGAATGACTGCCAAAGAAAGGAATATTTTAAAGGGAGAAAGCCTACAAATCTCCAGCAGCTGAAATGCAGCAAAATAAAAACACTAGCTCTGCCTCTTTCTTTCCTTCTGTCCTACTTACCAGGAGAGTAAAAATAGGTTTTTATTAACAGCTGAAACCTGAATCACTGTACTCCAGTCATAATGATCCCATCCTCCGGGAGGTGATTTCAAATACTTGCATATGCATACATGGTAATGAGGCTATAGAGTGAGCAGAGAAATTCATTGAAGTTCTAAGAAAATCAAAGACCTCTTGGAAGGAGCCTCAAGCAATTCTTTATGGAGTAGCAGAGCATTTCCTGGCAAGCAATTTTCCAGTAGGGACAGAGATGCTGCTCTCTACACCGGCACTAAATGTGATTAGTGAAGATTTGCTGCTCAGCTGAGGACCACAGGCTCCCACAAATGCCCTACTCTGGCTCAAGGTGCTGCTGACCACTGGCTGAGCCACAGAGCAGCTTCGTTCCCATCAGTGCTGTGGATGGAACTGAGCACTCCCTCACTGCCTTCACCAACACAAGAACACAGCCTGGGTCAGAGCACTGCTGACAGAGTGTCTATTTCATCATTTATTCCCAAACAATTTTACCAGTGATTTCTGAGTCAATTGCACCAGCACACACAGCAGCTTACCTAGTGTTACAGCAGGCTGCTGTTTAATCAGTTAAGGGAAAATAAGTTTCTGCAGATCTCAGAAGCACTGCCTGCAGCCTGTGAGGCTGTTTTAGCCTCTTCCAGGCCTTAAAACTGAGCAAAGGGAGCAGCAGCAGAGATCACCTCTCACTACTTTGCAAGCTTGTTAAGAACGCCTGCAAAGCGTGGGCTCTGGACAGCAGCACAGCATTCATTGTGAACCTGCCAGATAAGAAGCAGAGTCCAGACAGAGCTGCTATGATCTACAGGGAGCTAAGATAACAAGGGTCAAGGGCTGAATGAAAAAAAAGGATCTGGGTCAACCAGTGCTTCTTGAGTCTGTCTGCTTTGCAGCTTCCCAGCTCGAATTTTATATCAGAAGTCATCACACTGCTCTTCTCAAGTTCTGGTATAAGCAAGGTTAAAATAAGAATCAGTAAGCACAGCTGCCTCTTCCGAATGCTTACAGCTAATTCACTTCCCATTCTAGGCCACAAATATTTCAGTTTGCTTGTTTTGGATATGGACAGTCTTCTCTGCAAGCAGATGTCAGGCTGCAGATCGATGTCCTGCCAGCGAGGAGCAGCTATGAAAGCTTTGCCACCTCCCATGGTGCTGCCTGAAGGCTCCAAGCTTACAGAAAGGTCACAGTCACCACAAGAAGCAGCCAACTGCACGTCTGCCCTGCTCAGCAGACACACAGCACGGCCCCTGCAGCCACTGCTCCAACTCCTGGAGCAGGAGGTGCTCTGCTCCTCAGATCAGTTTCATAAAAAAAAAAAAACAACACCAAAAACCAAACAGGTAAGAGAAGCAGCTCCCCCCTCACTGATGGAAGACCCAAAGGTCACAGTTCAGACTCCTACGGAGAGAGGAGAGGTGTTCTGTGCACAGATGGAGACTCACTTTCCTTTCACGCAGCAGACAGCCACGTTACGAAACTGATCTGCAAAACGTGGGCAGAAGAACCAAAGCCTCCCTCCCTCCCATGTGCCTGCCACAGGGAAGTGAAACAGACCCAGGTGCCTGTGCAGGAAAGGAAAGGAAGAGAGCTCACATCGCCAACACACGGAGAGATCCCTGCATGACACCACAGCAAAGGGGTGGAAGAGTCCAGAAGTACATGCACCACAGGGCAGGTTAAGGAAAACCCCTCCAAGTCAGGCACAGAAGCCAAGGAGCAAACTCAGCATCTGAAAAGGAATCCAGACAGACAGAGGGGGTTCCCCAGAGCTGCAGTGCACAGGTATGCAGCACAGCCCAGCACCCAGCAGCTCCGTGTTTCCAACCTTTGAGGTGATCCTGGAGTCAGGAGCAGCACAGCATGTCAGCAAGCAGCGCTGCTAACAAGAGTTGGAGGTGCCTTCCTTTCCTTGCTATAAACTCTTGCAAACGTATCTATGACTGAACAAATTATGTGTGACACTTCTGGAGAAGGAAGGCAAGATGGTTGCCTTGGAAACAGGGGACAGAGGTAGAATTCTGCATCCACTTCATCACTTTAAGTGCTGCAGCAGGGTCAGTGAATTAGTTACAAACTGCAGTGTACAAGCATTAAGCCCTTCAGCAAAGGCACGAGGTAGAGAGCAGACCATGAATGATCTGCAGGGAGAGGGCTGCTCTCTCCCTGGCTCTCAGCAGCACATCCTCACTGCTCCACACCCCCACCCAGGAGTACACAACAGTCATGGAGGTGAACTAAAAGTGTCACTTTTCATTGAGCATCATCCTCCCCAGATCCTTCTGGGAAAAGCAGGTTTCAAGGCTTGTTCATTGTTATTCAGGGGTCAGCTTCTGGTGGTTCAGAAACTTGGATGACAGGCTAGGAGAGTTTTAATTCATTTCAGTTTACAAATCCTGGGTCTGCACTGCATGCGTTGCTTTGAAATGCTTTTCAAACCTTCAAGAAATGGGCTGGGAGAAGTTAGCTCAGTCCTGCTGAATTACAAGAAAATGCTGAAACATGAATTTCATGCGAGAATTCAGCTGCAAAAGTGAGGAGAGGAGGAAGGCAGCTGGCAGATGCAACACTGAGCAGATTCTTCCTACAGAATTCTCCAGATAGGGCTGCCACTGCAGGGGAAAAGCATTGAGAATAGCTTTGAGAACAAAGGGAGGAACTGATGTGCTTTGCCCCATCAAGCTGCCTCCAGCAGCTACAGTGCTTCACCAAGCAGCACTCAATTCCTGCTCAGCATTCCCCACGTCCACTGATAAAGCCTCATACCCTCAATGTTGCACCAGAAGAGAGGCATCACTGTACAGAAGGAGAAACTCAGCCATCCATGCAGCTCAGGAGGGCTAAGAGGAGTCCAGAAACCCAAAATCATTGCTGAACATCTCCCTCCACCCCAACCAGATGTCTACAAATTCTAGAAATTAAGGCACTTTCTACCAAAATGCTTTCCCAAAACCCTCTGACAGTATCTGAATGACTGCCTGCTGTCCCTCCAATTGCTTTGTTCGGTTTTAAATAAAGCAGGGTCTGGTTAAGCTAAGGGCAAAGCTTCTATTTAAAGAAGCAAAAAAAAGGAGAGAACTGAGCCGGATTCTTTAGCACAGTGCTGCCCCACAAAAAGGAGATGGACAGCCACATCCGAAGCCCAGGGCTGCAGGCTCTGCCGTGTGTGATGTAATTATTAGGATGCCACAGCAGGAGGAAGGAGGCAATTACTAATAGGGGAGAAAAGCCTGTTAAGAAGCACTGGCTAAGCTCACAGAAAACTAATAAGAGTCTAAACCTTGGAAATGCTCCTGTGTTCACAGGTACAGACTCTCTTCAGTCTCTATTGGTGCTATGAGATTAAAGCCTCACCAGCAGCAGCTGTGCCCAATTAGAAGGCAGGCTGTGCCCACACAGCACAGAGATGCTGCTGCCCCCCATGCCAGGAGCACGCTCTACTTCCTCCTGCTTGCTACCTCCAGGCAGGGTCTCCAGAGAAACCTCTTGGCTTCAGAGCTGATGCAAAAGCTCCCTGCTAAAACCAGGTATATAAGGAGCTGGGTAAGCAGCTCAAATCCTGGCAGACAGTAACACATGAGAACCACCTACACTGGCCCAAGCTTAGGGGCAGCTCAGTGCAGCACCTGGACCCACAGTATTGCTAAGGAACAAGAGCTTTTGGCATTTGTGTTTTCACTGCAATACCTGCTAATCTGCTCCACAGGGTTAATTCCTGCCCTGCTTCCTCACTGTGCTTACTGACAAGGCATCAGCTGGAGCTCGTGGCAGCTGCTCACCACTCAACATCACTGCAATGAGCACAACTACTTCATTACAAAGCACCACAAAGGGATACAGTGCTTTGCTGTCTAACTTGAAGCTCTCTAGCCCTCAGAGGAAGATGGCAGAAGGACTCACTAACAGCAAGAGCTATTGTTTCCAAGATCAGCTCTATATGGTGTTTTTAAATGCTGTGCAGCATTTAAGAGGCCAGCCCCAAGCAGTGTCTTTTGTAACCCACTATTTTACTGGGAAGCATGTGCATGGGGAAAGGCACTCTTGAAAAGCAAATGCCTGCTCCTATCATCTCCCAGACCCAGTGAAACAACCAATGCACAGCACCTGGAGACGATTAGAAGACTCTGCCTGACTGCTTAATTAATTACCCAGGCAGCTACATGAGGCTTGCCCCCCCCCAGCCCCTTTGATCTTTGCAGGGACAGTTGCAGCTGCTCCTCTGCAGAACACCAGTGCAGTTCAAGCCTGTCTGCTTCTGTTCTACAGCTCCTGCAGACATCTCCCATGCCATAACAGCTACCAGGGATCGTCATCTGACAGCACACTGCTACCCACTGCCACTTTTTTTTAAAGAGAAACAAACAAAAAAATAAAAATAGTGCTCTTCCTGCCCGCAGGCAGCACAAAGCAGGCCCATTGCCTTACAGGATCAGAGCCTTGTTTTTACAAGGCTCCCAGAAGCTTTCTGGGCAAGCTTGTAGGCAGGACCTCTGCTGAGCATCTGCGGTCCAGCAGGCAGCTCTGTATGTCCTCAGAAGCACTTCCTATTCAAACAGGAGATAAGCTAATGCAGCCTCCGCGCTGAAGCATCCTTATGATGCTTTTTTGTTCTTGTACTTTTATCCGCCCAGGAAATCTCTGCTCAGAGGCAGCATGTTCAAACAGATCCTTTAAAAAAGGGAAAAAAAAAAAAAACCTCAGAGATAACGACCTCTCCCCCCCTATTCCCCCCTCCCAGACAAAGGCAAGGATAAAGCAGAGGATTTGGGGGAAGGAGGAGGATGACATTAAAGAGAAAAAGAAAAAAAAAATCCCATTGTCCTGGAACATACTGATTCCATATGGAGCAAATATGAAGGGATATTTCTGTCACCAGACTGTCCAGAAAACCAACACATTACTGAAACCAGCTTCAGGGAACCCCTGCTCCATCAGTGCTAGCTGGCCTCTGAAACAAATTACCCAGAACCCTTAATTATCAAGAACCAGTCACACTAGGAACATATTTTCAACATATTCATTATTTACTCGTTAGCAATTCAAATGCTCTAACCGGATGCTCTAATAGGAGGGGAAAAAAAAGCCAAATGGATGTTGCCAGAGCTCCAGCAGAGCTGGAGGAAGGTTATCTAGTGACTTCCATGTGTCTGCTGTCAAAAGGAAAAATGAGTTGAGAGCAATAGCATAGGTACATTAGCATAAGAAGCAGAAAGAGAATGACTAATAGGAAGAAGCTGAACACTCACTTGTGCTGCCTTATCTGCTGTATTGAAAATCTCTTGGCTGGGTCGTATTCAAGCATCCCTGAAAAGGAGAAAAAGTCCAGGTGTGATCACAGAGGCTCTCAGCCAAGCTGAAGACGAGAAGCATAAAGTGCTGCCCTTCCCTCCCACCACCCTGCCCCCGTGCCTGGCCCTCCTGGCAGCTCTGGGCACTTTTACCTGCAGAAACATTTGTTGCATCAGCCCCAGAGAGCTCAGCACAAACCCCAACCCCAGTGCTGACTCCTGATCCACCTGCAAGGTGGATATGACCTTTCCCTCCTTCACCCTGCAGGGACAGACTGGTACAGCCCCAGATCACAAGCCCAAACGTGTCTCCAGGCAAGGAACAGCAAGACTTTGCATTTCACAGGTAACACTATTGAACTTTCTTCTGTGGAAGAGCCCAGGCCTAAGGCACGACACATCCATCTGCTCAGCATCCCAGGAACTCTACAGTCCAGTGATATTCTAATCTGGAAGTACAGCTGGGGAGAACTGACACAAATGATCCTGCTGCCCATCCCATCATCCATCCTTCTGCCTGAGCCAGTCTCGATTTCTGGCACCTGTTGCTAGGATCACTGGGATTAGGGTGAGGAGAGGGGAATGTGGAGAAAATAGCTTATCTGTATTCTCCCTGGAAAAGAAGGAGGTGGATTCCTTATAAAGCAGACTTATGAGATGCCCACTCTGCTCCACGATCTCAAAAAAGCTTCACAACTCCTCAGAAGTGAGATAGGAAATTTTGCTGTATTTTTCAGACTGTTCATTGGGACCTAATGAGAATCATCCAGCAGAATCCAAAATCCCTCCAACCGAGCTTCCAAGAATATATTCATCTAACGGGTATTAAACTCTCACTGCTATACACTGCAAGCAGCTTTGCATCTGCTGGATAAAAGCCTCTCGCTGTTCTTGAAGCACCAGCACTGGTGAGCACGAGGAGAAGGGCTTTGGGAAGAGGGGAGAGAACAGGAGCCTGCAGTGAGCTGAGGAGAATGGAAACCAGGAGCAGAACAGAGCTCTCAACAGGAGAGAAAGAGGATGGGGTAACCTACTGTGGAGGGCCACTGTAAGGACACAGTGGACACACAGGGACAGGAGGCATCTTCAGATGAGCACCTGGGAACAGAGGGCTAGAATGAGAATCTGCCATTTAAATAAGAAGCTGCAAGGGCCTTGCAGATGGGATTCTGCAGTGCTGCTGAGCAAAGGTATTAGAAAAGAGAAATCAGTAGTGTGTGGTCAGAGCTGATTAGCAATACCTTCCTCATCAGTTCAGTCTGCATCACATCACTAACAGCAACAATCCAGGGACAACTGCAATAACACCACCAAAAACAGGAAGCCACCACTGTGAGTACCTATGCTTTTGCAAGGCTTGAACACTCCAAACAAGTGCATGCTTAAGGAAACAAGCACATTGATAGCCATTTTTTTCCTCCTTACAATGAGATTTTTTCTTTTCCCCCAGCAGACAAAGAGTTTCCTTCGGTTCAGTTTTAGCCTGTACCCCCACATGCCCAACAAGGATGCAGAAGTCCACCACCTGCTCCTAGAAGCACTGAGCTGAGTCTCAATTCCAAACCTGACAGCAGGTTCCTTACACAGTGCTCTTGGAGCAGCCACTTCTGGAGATGACATGAAAGGGTTGGGAAAACACGTTGTGAAAGCCTGGTCCACTGCATCATACCAAACCAAAGGGATTTTAGAAAGCTCATAGCTGGGGAGCCAGCTCACTGCCATGTCTGCTTACCTAAGAGATGTTCAAGGCTAGAGAACATGGCAGGAAAAGGTACAGTGTGAAAGGACTGATGTTATTTTCCCCTCAGAAACCAACATGCTGTTTCCCACGGCAATCTGAAAAGATTTATCAGTGCTGATGACAGCAGGAATAGCTTTAAGCAGATGGCATCACTATTGATCCACATTATATCACTGTGATGGAAGTTAAGAACAACCAACCATGGGAAAACTTGCTGGGTGCACCACAAGCATCTGGTTACCTGAACTCAAGGCACCAGGGCCTTCAGCATTCAAGGCTTTAAACAGAGCTTAGCAGAAATGCACTCTTGCCTTGCTGAGACCACAAAACCCACCGCAAGGCTACGTCACACAGCTGAGCTGACGGGAGCTACAGCAACAGCTCCTTGCTCAAGAACCCTCAGCCTTGAGAGCACTTCCTTACCCTGGGTATTTCCTCAAGCAGAACAAAGCCTTGTAAACAAGCCATCAGCAGACCAGACTGCAACTGGACCAGAACTGGGAGCACGTAGCGGGAGGTGGTTGGTGACAGTGCCAAAAGCTGTACAGCTCACTTATGTCTGCTGTAAGGACCACAACCAAAAGTGTATTTTGAGATGGACTTAAGGGAAGAGCCAGAGGCAGGGAAGAGACATTTGAACCACCCACAGCAGAGAAAGGACTGATCCTGAATCTTGCTAGCCTGCAAAGTGCTGCAACAAGCACAATACAACAGCAGTGTTGTTCCATAGGGCTAATTCCAAGTTGTTTCCTCAGCTGAGCCATCATTAGTACAACAACACTCGAGAAACTCCCCCAATCCCAGTTAAAGTGAGGCTGGAAAGGACCCTAAGGATCCCACACTGCACCCTCCTGCTCACAGCAGGCTCCACCTGAGCACATCATCCAGGACTGTGTCCAGTGGGGCTTCTAATTTCTTCCTCCAAGGATGTCAGCCCCACTTCCCCCCCCCCAGACAACCTGCTCCAGCACTCAACCACCCTCACAATAAAGGAGTTCTCACATTGAAGTGAGATTTTCCCTCTTTGCTTTTCAATTTCTTTCTTTCCTTGCAAAGTGAGGAGAAAGCAGTTCAGAAGAAAAAACAAAGCAACTCCTTTTAAACTAAATGGGCTATCAGTAAAATTATTAGACAGTAATTTGACAGTAACTTTACAGCTGAGCTTCCAAGGGTTTTTGTTCATTTGTCTAGAGACACTAGAGCTGGTATTGGCAAGGTTATCATATCAACTGAACCAGGTCAGGACTGCTCTCCTACACTGACTCTTAGACCATATTTCAGGAAGGTGTTTTTGGAATCCAGTTTATCAAGCCTGGGATAAAATCCTGCACACTCCAGCAGATACGGCTACAAATTCTTCATAGAAACATCATGTGCAGTGGTACCACCCCAAGGCTCTTCTGATTAGTTTGTGCACACCAAGGAACGATTTCTCTACAGGAGCTGGAACAGCCTTGCATGCAGCTTGCTTTGGATGGAGGAAAAAAATTGTGCATTCTTTCAAATGCTAAAGAACATCAAGGCTAGGAGAAATGTAAGGCACTGATTAGATGGAACTGGTGCAAACAGGATAAGGTTCTGGGGTAAGTTATTAACAGGGGTCTGATAGCACCAGTCACAGAGTGTTTGGGTGAAGGGCTGTATCGTTACCTTGCAATCAATTAAAAAGGCACAAATAAGGTAAACGAGCAACAAGAAAGCTTCCTTTAAGGAAAAGGACTGTATTTGGGGCAATGTTAGAAAGAAAATAGAACATCCAATCATCAAAAATGTACATTGATGCGTTCAGCTGTGACTCACTTGCGGCGGGCCTGTGGCCGAAGTCCTGCGATTTCATCACGACAAAACATCATGTACTGCTCACCAGGCAAAGCATCACGAGCATCTGCCCACAGTAACCACACAAACTCTCTACCATTTACGGTAAAGATCTCCATGCAGATTATCTGCGAGTGGAGAAGAGAGGCTGCAATGAGGAGAGTCTTTGGGAAGATGCTTTGCTTTCAAACCTCCGCCCCATGGGATTCCAGCAGGACCTGCTGTGCCCATACATGGGATGTCATGTTTGTTACAGCAGCCTCAAACCCCTTTCAGATTCTGCCAAGGGGCAACGTGAACACCAGAGACCACAATCCTGTTTGAGCTCCTTGTCACAGACCGCAGCTGACACATCTCAATAATCCTGAGCAAGCATGCTGTTACATCGTGTAGAAGGGCTGCTTAGAAAGCAGGCAGCACAATCTGAAGTATGTTCATTCAGAGGCAGGAAGAAATCTAACAGCTCGAGTTTATTGAATTCAACCTGGGTTTTACTTCAGTCTTTAACTTGGCAACTGCTTTAAGCCATCAATATAAAGCAGAAAAAGCCCAATTTGTGAAGTGAGATGGATTTTTCTCCTCTCCTTCATCCCCTACAAGCACAACCAGGTGTCCTGACCAGAAATTGCTCTGCAGAGGAGCCTTGAAAAATGCAGGACACTTCATGCCGGATGGTTACAGGCCCAGCTCAGGGGATTCCCTGTCACTACTGCACTAAAGCATCCTATTGTCATCAGAACGCATCCCTGAAATTTAAGGTTGCAGCAGTTGTAGGGAAGTAAGAAAACAGAATGCTGAGAAGCCAGCCAACTCATCGCCAGTCACAAAACCAGCTTGCAGCAGAGCCTGGACATAAACCCAGGTGTTTAATGCAGAGAGTGCAGTCTCAAAAGTTCAGAGAAAGCACTAAGTACATTAGAAGAAGAGGAAAAAAAGCTCACCCTCTGCATTTTTTTTTCTTTTTGCTCAGAAGTGAACTGGACAGGAGTCAATAAGTCACATGCAGATGCTGACAGAAGGACCTTAAGGCTATTTGCAGATGCTTCCTGACTGCAGACACAGAAGGCAGAACAGTACCAACCCCTTTCCCATCAGCAAAGAGCACAGCTAAAGCTTTGTTTCAGATTATGGGATAAGAAGAGGGGCAGCATCCCAACTGGTTGGTTGAAATACACTGCCACAAGTCAAATGCTACAGAAGTTTTAGGTCCCCTAAATTCTGCTTTTTCTGCAAAGTGGAACAAAACAAGGGAAAAAAGTAAAACACTGCTTCAAAAGTGGTCAACAAAAGGACAGAAAGCCTTAAGAAGTAAATTTCAGCATTTGTTTCGTGGGCAAATTGCCACAACGGTCAACGTAACTCTTATAGCCAGAGAGAAAACAAGCACTTTGCAGCACAGTGAATCCTCCTCACATTAAGGACAGAATGAATGCTCCCAGCACTGCAGAGTGCTCCAGAAGTTGTTTAGAAACAACACAAAGGCAAAGTATAATCTACAGTAAGACAGAGCTGAGCTCAGGGTGTCTGTGCTGCTATATGAAAGCATCAGCCTGCCACTGAACACCTGATCTGCAGACTTTGGATCCCATTTCAGCCTGCTGCAGCAGCAGGCACCTACCAGGAAATGCAGATGTTCTGGAGGAAAAGCATGAACCAAATAAAGCACTCCAGTTCTGCCAGCACAGCTATGCAGTATCACCCCTGCAAGGCTCAGCCCTGGTGCTCAGTGCCATCAGGCTCTGTTGGGAGCTGGCTGACAGTTGCTGAGCCACCCTCCATCATGCTGGAAAAGTCATGGCTGTCCCCATGGACTGGAAAAAGGGAAATGTCACTCCTGTTTACAAGAAAAAGAGAAAGGAGGACCCAGAGAACTCCAGGCTGGTGAGCCTCACCTCTGTGCCTGGGAAGATCATGGAACAGATCCTCCTGGAGGACATGTTAAGGCACATGCAAAATGTGGAGGTGATTTGAGCCAGGCAGCACAGGTTCACCAAGGTAAAGTCACACCTGACCCATTTGGTGGCTTCCTGTGATGGAGTGATGGCATCGGTGGACAAAGGAAGGGTACCTGATGTCATCTACCTGGACATAGAGGCAGGTAATCAGAAGGGAAATCAACTTTTTACATGGGTAGACAGTGAAAAGACAAGGGGGAATCACCTTAAATTAAAAGAAGGAAGGTTTAGATTAGATGCTGGGGGAAGTTTTTCACTGAGAGGAGGGCAAGGTGCTGGGAACAGCTGCCCAGAGAGGCAGTGATACCTCCTATTCCTGGAGGTGCTCAAGGCCAGACTGGATGGGGCCATGAGCAGTCTGATCTAGTACTTGATTTAGCAGTCAGCAACCCTGCCTATGGCAGAGGGGCTGGAACATGATGATCCTTGAGGTCCCTTCCAAGCCATTCTACGATCCTAGACAGAGGAAAGCTTATCACACCAGGCAAGAATAACAGCTTTTGCCAGCTTCACTGTGCAGCAAGTGCATACAACAAGAGGAGTGGGAGAATGTTCTGAGGTGGACTGGAGGGAGGATGGCAACAGGAATCTTATTTCCTATTGTTCTGGAAGAGCCAAATTGGTAGAGACAGATGGCCATGTGCCCTAAGTGAGCTCCTCTGCTACCAGGTGCACTCAGCATGCATCTCTGCAGCACCCAAAGGCAGACAGCAGCTGGGTGGAAGAACTGACTCAAGCACATTTTGGACAGCAGCATCGGCTGCAAGGCTCCTTGTTTAAAGTGAGGCAGAAGGAAAAGTTAGAGAGTCTGACTGAGTCTCATCCAGGGGATGGAAAAGCAACAAAAGGGAATTGTTCTGCTAATGGAGAAGAGCGGTTTGAAACTATCAGTATCCCAAGGACAAGAAAAGAAAACAACCACCCTTCCTCTGGGGATGATGCTAAGTGCAACTGTGAGGCTTACCACAAACTTCATGTTTCTGCTGGATGCTTTAGAAGACTGCTACCAGGCTAGATGAACCTTTGGATTTACTCCATTTGGACAAATCCTGAGTTCATAAAGAGCTGCTGTGCTTTGAGCCAGCATTTTCAAAGCAAACACCACAGGTAGACTGGGACATTGCTGCCTGGGGCACAGAGCACAGCAGCCAGAAGTGCTGGGCCTTCATTTGTAGCCATATCTGCAGCTACACCTGATGCAATAGTTTCCAAAAGCTGCTCAGGCCAGTCAATGCTTTGAAACATGTGTAGATTACTTATTTCATCATCAGTACAGGACCAGAGGAGCTAAGTCAGCCTCAAACAAGGAGGCTCACAGGGATTCTGCACTGCAGAGGTAGAGAAGCCAGCCATTTGTAGGATAAATAAAGGCTGTGAATGCTCTGAAACTTTGCAGCAAGCCACAAACTGCAGCAGCACTGTGCTGTCCTCAGTATGGTTACAGCAGACAGCCCCTGGTTTAGCAATAAACACCCATATCAGGAGCTGACCTGATGACACTGAGGACAGCAGGAAGCGAAGCTGACTCAGCTTCCTCAGTACCCCATAGCCACTCACCCACACTCATCCCCAACTACTTGCAAGAATGAAACAAAATAAACCAACACTTGAAACGACACAGCTTCATTTCGTATTTGAAGCCAGACCCTTCTTGAATGGCTGAAGACAAAGGGAAGTGAGTAAACCTGTGCTGAGGAATGGGGAGCATACTGCACCTATTCCTCTGCCAAGGCAGCAGGAACTCTGACCAGGATCTCCCACATCCTACCTGCTGCTGCACAGCCAGTGACTGGGAGAAGAGCACACAAGCAACCAATCCTCTCCTCCTACCTAAAAGGTGCTATTCCTGTCTCTACCACAGGTTCCAGCCACTTTGCTCCAATATCTGCAACTGAAATTTTAAGGGAAGGGAGAAGACAACTGGGATTAAAGCACTTAGAGGAAAGGCTGATGAGAAAGGACACCAGAACCTGAGTACTTGTTATTTCACAATACAGAATGCCTGGGCAAGGAATGTAATCAAGTGTCCTCACCTGTCATTTTAAATTTACCCTCATGAGTTTTATCTTCAGATTTAAAAGCTGCTTAGAGCACAAGAATCCATGTAAGAACCCACCTTACAAAGTACAGTCCACCAAGGGTTTAGTGCATCTCAGGAGAACACCAGTATTCAAGATCTTTGTCTTACCCCAAAACAAATAAGCCTACCTCCCTTTTCAATAGGATCCTATACCATCACAGAATACTCAGAACAAAACTCCCCAACCTTTATGAGCAGAGCATGTGCTGCACCTCTAAATTTTACCCATTCACTCTGAGCCACCTGGGAGACTCACCTCTCAATAAGTCTGAGAGTGGAGGACCACAATCCTCTGGAATTGTGAAGTCACCTTTCCCGATGTTTTCAAATAACTTATATATATTATCCCCTTCAAAGGGGTATAGACCCGTTGTAATGTTGTATCTGTAAAGGCAGAAGGAGAAGCTGTATGAGATGAAGCACACAGAACAGGTGCTCAGCTCTCACATGACAGCAGAAACCAAAAGGAGGTAAGAGGAAACAAAGATGAATATCTGACAGTATTTGGAATGCCTCTTCCAACTTTGTCTGTCTATATCACAGCCTCTTCATTCACATGAGTCAATACCACAAAGACATCTTCCTGACAGGCTGGAATGGAAGAAACTTTTAAAAATAAATACTAGAGATACAAGCACTTTGTGGTTTCTATTATTACAGCAACTGTGCATCTCAGATGCTGAGAAATGGCTGGCAGAGACTTACTAAGTGTGGAGATGACTTTATTCAGAACTGCAAGCACTTCAGGGAACACACACACACATCCCAAGGATAGGCCAAGCTGCATAAACCCTCCCCAACCCCCCCAACACCACACACAAGAGCGTGGGGACAGCAGATTGCACAAGACTGAGCTATTTGGGGACGTGTCATTTGTCACTGCAAGTCCTGGATGCTGCATGGGCACTTACAGTGTGACCCCTGCGGACCAGATGTCTACTTTAAAGCCTGAAAAGGTATCAAGGCCATTGGCAATTTCTGGTGGCTGGAATGCTGGCGACCCTTGGCTCGTTCGGCACGTGTCATCCTCTGCAAATGGATGCAATGCCTGCAAAGAAACCCATTAGTTTCAAACTTCCAAGGCGTGCAAGTTGTAACTGGTCAGAACTTTCACAAAAGGAGAAAACTCTGCTACTGAATGTCTACTTACATATCATGAGAACATGCAACTGTAGTTAAACACCATCAGTGATATTTCCTTCACCAACCCTGCCTTGCTAAGACAGTCTCCATATATTAAGAAGTACAAGGTTATGTTGCTTATCAATTTCACCATACTTCTGGGCTTTTCTGGGTTTATCTGAGATTAACATCCTCCTCTAAAAGCTTCCTGGATGGAAGTTTGGTGCTGTTATCAACAGTGAGATAGAAGTGTTTTGCCAGTTACAATAAATACTCAGCAGAGCCACTCCAGAGCATTCTGCAAGTTCAGCAGGACAATCAATAAGTCAATCAATCCCACAGAGGTGATATGAATCCAGAAAGTCACACTTCCCACTTCACTGCAGTTCTCACGTACCTCTGCTACGCCTAAATCAGATATTTTCAGCGTCCCATTGGTGGTCAGCAGGAGGTTCCCAGGTTTTATATCCTTGTGGACAATCCCTTGGCTGTGCAAGTATTCTAAGCCATCTATAAGCTGACAAAAGTACCTAGAGGAACAGGTAAAGAAAACAAGAATCAAGCACTTCCAGAGACTAAAAGCGTGAACCACCAATAATACATGAAGCATTGTACAGTGACAGCATGGCAACAATTGCTCACACACTTACTTTTAATCTCCTGGAATGCAGAAATATTACCCATCTTAATGCACCTGCATTTCACTGAGGCCACCTATACCCTCAGACATCCATCTCCAGAACTCTAAAGTTCCTTTACTTGCACGCTGCAATGGATTTCAGTTAGCCTGTCCACCAACAAGCTAACACATCATGCTGGATATTGACAGTTCATCTACTAGAGATCTTTCATCTTTTTTCCTGACAGAGCTGCTTGCAACATCCCATTTAGAGCAGGCAAGCCCTCACACATTCCTCCACTGCACACATCCTAGCAGAATGACACAGAAAGGCCAGGAAAGGTTGCCATGCATCACTTACAGCAAAACAAAATCAGCAAAATTCAACAGAAAGATGCTTTTCTTCCCAGAATCAAAGGGTTCTCTCCACCACGGCTTCATTAGGCTTTCATTTTTTTCCTCCCATGGATGTAACAAATGGGCTCATAACACCAAGTTAGTTTTACTCAATGGGCAGCCAGCAGTGCAACAGAGCAGAGTGCACCCTTGAATTTAAGAGAGCAGCGATGAGAAGCTGATGCAGCCTAAGGAACAAGCCTGTACTTACCCATGAGCCTGAAAAACTGGAAACCTCTTTTCTGGGACACTGTCCAGCATCTCCTGCATCCCACACACACAGTACTCCATCACCATATACGTGAAGACAGTGTTAAGGAAGCTCCAGGGTAAGCTGCTTTCCAGGCAGGTGCTGCATGAGGACTGCAGCCCCACTCCCAGCTGCCATGTGCCCTCTCATACCTGGGATTTAAGTGAGCTCCTGTGCCCTCCCTGAGGTGTTATTCTTCATTTCCCATCCCAAAAAGGTGTGTGCACACACTCCTTAACAGCTGCTGCTCATCCCATCCTCACAGCAGCATTTCACTGGTAGGAAAGGATCCCTAGAAAGTTGGAAAGCTTTTTGGAAAACACACAGATTAAGAAAACCTACAGGAGTGCCAAGAGCTGGTGGCACTTTTTAGTATTTGGTCTCTTCCAACATGTTTCAGTTTTCATCTCCTTGCATTCCAATATCAGGGCCAAACAATGGAAGTGACAGAAGTGCCCAGAGCAGTCATTGCTCTGCTCCCCTCTCCCAGGGCTTGGAAAAGCACAGTGCACACTGAGGGGCTGTGACAGACCCTGAGACATCTGGTGGGTTGGCAAGGCAGTGCAGCTCTGAGATGCAGAGTGCAGACACAGGCATGCAGGCAGTCCATGTTCTCCAGTAACAACACATTTCTTCAGTCACTAATTAATCCTGGCAGATGCCTTCTTAACCTAAGCCCAAAATAAGTTGTTTATCTCCCAGGATGCTCTCAAGGCAAGAGAGGCTAAAGAGATGACCTGCATTTTAAGTGGGATCCAAGCTAGAAACTGCTGCCCTTTTGTAAAACATCCCACCCAGCTCCAACCCCTGGGCAAACATTGCATTAATGCTCGTGCCCCTGATGAGCTGCTCTTCAGAGAGATGCTGAAGTGCTGTAGATTTTGTGATGGGCACAATGCCACCCGATTGATCAGCAGAAGCAAAAACAGCAGCAAGAACCCAAATTTCATTCTTACAAATTCTTACCCCAGTAGAAGGCAGGGACTGTGTGTATCACAGTGACAAGGAAGACAGCAACTCTCCCATCTTCAAGAAAACAATACTAACAATGGATTATACAGAGTAGCAGTTGGGAAATAAAACTCACCTCTCATTCTTTCTAGAAAGAACCACCTAATTTTGGTTTCATCACCTGCTTCTAACCCCCCTCCTCTGCAGCTGCCCATTCCTGGCCAGTCAGCCAGATTCCAGCACAAACTTCCAGGCAGAGCAGATCTAGCACAGGTGCCCCACAACAAAGTTCTCATTTCTGCTCATCAGTAGGGTTCTGCTCCCACACACAGCTGCACACACTGCTAACAGAAGCTGTCAAGTCAGGGTGCCAGCTGCAATGCTGCTTGTTCAACAGGAGTTATTTTCTGCCTGGATCAGCTCTCCATTCATCACCAGCTCTGCATTCCCAGCATCAGGTCAGCAGAGCAGCCTATTAAATACTAAAGGTGCTTGATATTTTTAATCCAGTCATCACAGCTTTCCTATTACCAAGGAAATCCTTGAAGGCTTTGACTAGACAGACAAGCTGTTAAAACACCACCTTCCTGAGAATAAGCACAGCTGAAGCCTGCACTCCTATCAGCAGCACAACACTCAGGCAAGAACAGAATCCTCCCTTCTTTTAAGGACCAGTTTCAAATGCCACATTGTTCATTCTGGAAATAAGGATTTTTTCCCCTTTTTCCCCCAAATAAGTAAGGAAGCAAAACCACCCCTTCTAGCTGAGAGAGGTCAAAACTTTTTTGAATGACCATTCTGGGTTGTCATCACCTACTACCAACACACGAGGTCTCTCTTGGGCTCTTTTTCAACATGCTTCCCCGTTAGCATCCCAGCTTCTTCTTAATTAAATGGTATCTTTCTGCAGACAGTAATTGAATTACAGCCCCTTCAGTCTGTTAAGGCTACAAAATACAAGTGAAAGTTGTCATGCTTTTTATATCTATGATTTGGTGGCAGAATATTCGATCTAATTAAAGCACAAAATTAAATTACCCATTTTCTGAAGTACTGTAACTGCAAGACAGTATTTGGAAAACACTGTCAAAATAAGAGCAGCTATTTGTAACACAAACAACAGCAAATCAGCTCAATAAGCTTACAGACTGGTCCAAGGGCACTCACTAGAAACTCTCCAGCCACCCACCTGCATTTCACTCGTGTGCTGAGGCACAGCAGCACATCAGTTGGTATCTGGGCATATTTGTAAGACACCATGCATTGGAACAGCACATTGAAGTCTGAAAGATGTGCTGAGATCACAAGCCACAGCTCAGTTTCCAGAGCTGCACGTCTCACAGGAGCAATACACTTTTTATCTCATGACCATTACAAGCTGTAGGTCACTGAAAGCACTTCACAAGGGACGTTCACACGAACAGCAGAGCGCAGCAGACCAGGGCAGGAGCCCAGCTCATCTCATTCCAGACCACACGACACGTCTGTCCCTGAGGAAGGCAGCACTGCTGGCAGCCAGATGCCACAATACATGGATTCTTATTTATTTTTCATTTTTTCCAAGGGGTAAAAATTCCACTGACCATTGCCAAGGGCACAAAGGAAAAAATAGACAAAAAATTGACAAAAATTGACTTCTTGCAAAACATAAACAGGTCCATCTTCGAGGAAAAAAAGCTCTGACACACCACCAGCTACAAGCAGCAGCTGAAAGAGACAGATCTGCAGCTGCTTTCATGCCTGAGTGGGGAAGGTCACACAATACAACAGCCTGGAGGGGCAGTTCTCTACTACAGTCCTGTATGTGTAACCTGGGGACAGTATTTCACACTGAAGTTGGGGAACTTTAAGAAAGCATTAAGAGTGGAAGCACTCCAGGCATACAACAGGTTTAATGCTAGTGAAAGCAATTGTAAGTTTAAGGAACATTCAGAAGAGCCTCAACAAAAGCAGAACTATAGTGATTCAGCACTACAGTGGAAAATAACAAGAATTCAAACCTTCAACCGCTGTGTTAAAAAGGATATATTTTCTGCTTCTCTTCATTGTATAACACATCTACCAACTGGATAACATTTTTGTGCCGCAGTCGTCGCAGGAGCTGGATTTCCCTGCAGGAAAAGAAAAGGAAAAACATTACATTTTCAAAGTCTATTTCCTTACTGTGGAATGAAACTAATGTTTCTATATCACACGGATCGTTACACTTCTGTGTTAGTGACTGTGTATTAGGGACTGTGTTAGTCCCAGCTGCTTCGCTGAAGGTTACCTCTCTGCATTCTTTGAGAGAAGGCTTTGTGTGCTCCTGAGCTCCAGGTTAGCCTATAACAATGTTCCCTGGGTGCTGGATACAATGAGAACCCTCCCCACTAACACAGTGCAGCTCCAGGTTCCCCAGCCAGGGATCCTGCTCAGCAGAAGATGAAGTACAAAACCCAAGGAAGGTGCCTTGCTGCACCTTGGCAATGGAAACTGACTCCTGGGTGCCACTTCACATCCATTGTTTTGATCTTTGTCTCCTGGGATTTTGTACTCTGCCCCAAACCACCGGATTTCAGTACCTTTTACATTAAAGTCACCCTGCAGAACCCCACTGCTGCCAGCTGTAAGGAGGAGAAACAGGAGGATCAGGCCAGGCAGGTCAGAGTGCTCTGGCTGGCAGTGCAGCACTCAGCTCTGCTCTGCTGCTCTGCTCCAGGCAGGTGCTGAACCACACACCAGCCCCTCTTCTTACCATTGCTAAGTCCCTTAGAAAAGCAGGGCCACATTTACCAGCCTGCACTGCTGGAAAGAAGCACTGCAAGAAACTCAGAGCACAGCTTCAGAAGGGAGAGCCTCTGACCAAGCACAGAGCATGGAGCTCAGAAAGCTCTCACCCTTTGCTTGCACAATTAGACCACCTGCAGTAACGAGCCACGACCAGCACAATGACTTGGTGCTGCATCATGTCTGATCAGCAAACCAGTAACAGCTCCTCCAAAGAGCTCATAAGATGCAGGACACAAGTTGGCTTTAAGAATTAAGAGAGCTGAACAGAAAGCTGGAATAACAAGGCAAAGCTCAGAAGAGTGTTTGGTTTAAATGGCAGACAGATTTGCAAAGTGATGCAGCTGCTCTAATTATAGTAATGACCAAAAGGCCGAAGTGGATTAAATTAGCATAGAACTGCAGCCAGCATTAGCAGAGCTCTAAGAAGTTCCTGCATAATGAAGGGAGACGGCTGAGCTCAGAGCCAGCAAGGGACAGAGCAAACACACCTTTAAGCAGGACTGCTTTCTGCAAAGGCAGAGAGCTTCCAATATTAGGAACGCATTTAAAATCCTCATCCTAGAGACTCATTCCCTGTAATGCTGCTTGAAAGCACAAACACCAATTCCTCCTACCTTTAAGAACCTGATAAATATTTCATATTTCTGCCATTTCTTTCCCCCAGAAGGACACTGTGAACCACCAATCCCAAACAGCAGCGAAGCACACCCACCTCCGGGGCAGGGGCCAAGCAGCCCATTTCCCAGAGGAAAGATTATCTCTATTTTTAGCTCCTCTTGCATACTGAAAGGGCTGAGGAATGGAGGCAGCCTGGCCACAGCCACCTCCAATCCCATTTGGTTTACAGAATTTGTCACTTACATGGACCTCAGTGCTTGCTTTGTCAGGAGTTGCCTGTGTTTACCTCCACCCCCCCCCAAGCTAACCACAAAGAACACTCCACCCTGCTGCTTTCTTTGCACTTTGCACTGTGATGTTTCAGTGACAGTGCAGGGAAGGAGACCCGTGTGCCTGCAGCTCATCATCCACGTTTTCAGGACCTCTCCAGCTGTTGCAACTTCATCTCCTTGATCCTTCTGAAAAAGCAAGATGAAATTTCAATTGTAATCCTTGTTTCTGCAGTCAGATCTCCCCCAGCAGAGGGAAAGGCACTTGGTCTGAAGCACAGCCAGGTGCTCGGGTGCTTCACCATGCTGCACAGAGCCAGGAGGATGGCAGAAGAAACTGACACCAAACACGACTGATGGACTTTGTCAGACCACTGTATTTGTACTGAAAGGAATGAGAAATAAACCTACTTCCCTAGCAGCTGGTATCAGATTGGCATTATGATGAGGACTGCAACCTTTCCTACATTTTCATTCCGTTTTAATGAATCTACCAGAAAGATTGTATGAGAGAGATGGTGAAATGAGTGCAGCAGTGCTCCCATTGTTACTACACTAACAAAAAGGAGCAAGCCCAACTCCTAGGGAGGCCTCTGCCTTGTGTGTGGCCATCACTGCTGTACCCACTCACCTCACACTACCGTGTGGCTGCAACGATTTACACCATGGAACTTCGTTCTACTTCTCCAGAGCACGAAGCCCCCTGGTGTACAGCAGGACAGACTGCTGGAACACAGACCCTGATTCAAAGCATGAGCATCCTGGAGCAGGGAGCAGAGATCCCCTACATGGAAGGCTCATGCACTCTGCCAGACACACTGAGCTCATCCAGATAGACTGAGCCTCATCTCCTTGCTTTGGCAAACAGCAGGGCCTGCTGCTGCTGCCAGAACAAAGCTGCTGCTCATCCTGCATGCCTGGAAGGTGCTGAGAAGCCAGCAATGCCCCTCCATGGACCACCGAAGCATCAGATTCAGCCTTCGTTCCACTGAAGATTTCTTACAATTTACAAACTCTTAAAGAAATCTTTATCCACAAAGGCAAGACAACGTTCACACCCTTTAAAACTATGTTACCTACAAGGTTTCCAGAAGAACTGCCTTCCAGAGGAAAGATACAGCACAGCTGATCCGAGCTGACAGCCTGCCTGGCTCTGCCTGAAGGTGCATTCCCTTCCTTTGCTTCATAAGGCTCCTCCACAGGTGCAAGCTGTTAGGATTTTACTGGAGGCAAGCGCTGGTGGATCTTTTCCAGGCAAACTGAGCTTCCCAGAAGCACGGGCTCACGGCAGGTCTGAGCCAGGCAGCTCTCACTGCCCACCTCAAGGCTCTGCACCAAGCATGGCACTCCTAAACCGTGGGTGAGCAGAGCATTGTGCCACCCACCCCACCCCAGACCTCCCCCGTTGGATGGGCAGGCTGGGATGAGTCAGCCTCAGGCCATCCTGGCCTCCAGCACCCGCCCTGCAGCTCACAGCAAACCCTTCCTTCAGCAGGGCTCTCAATTCGCAGGCCCACGTAGCAAATCACCAAATTACAGGCCTACTGCACATTTTCAGCCTCAGAAGAATTCTAATGAGCATATATTCAAATCTAAGTAATCACCGAGCATGGTAAGTACAGTACAAGACACTTGGGATATGCATAGAAAGTCCCAAACACTTAATTAAAATGGGAGGCTATTAGCACACAGTTTTATTAAATTTGTGCTGCTAGAGACAAACACTCCTCCAAATTTTCTTTCATCTTTTTGGCAATCCTACTGAACTCCTTCTTGGCATGAAGTGGAAGCAGCAATTAGCCATAGCATCAGCTGGTTGACCAAACCACCCCAGCCTCCCTCTGCAGGGACTGAGAGCACACACAGATCCCCCACACTGAGCTAGGAGATGTGTCCCACCCCAACGTGAGCACTGAGGGCTTACAGAGCTCTTACAGGCTCACCTTCCAGGAGCAGAACTGGATTATTTGTGGGGATAGAGAAGAATCATCCCATTTGCTAAGATAACCCTATCATGCATTTCAGCCCCAAACCTGAGGTCCCAGAACATCACTGCACAATGAGATCCACATCTCCAGGCTGCAGTGCCTGCTCTGTGTGCTCAGCCTGGGTGCAGACCTGTCCCACCCCCCAGGCTGCTCATTACTCCCTGCTTGTCACTGTTCCCTGTGTATTACTTGCTCATGTAATTACCCAAGAGCTGACAGTCCAGGAACTGTTTTCTAGGGAATTTCTTGGACAACACACTATTAATAGGAGCTTTGCCTTCACTGCTGCAGCAGCAATGCTGAGGCGTCCTGTGATAAGTGGATGGGGCACGAGGCCATCATTATAAATCAATTACATCTCTGCCACACAAACCAAGCCACCGTGCAGCAAAGAGCTGCATCCGTTAGAAACCAAGATGGGAGATCAGACTGCTGGAGGAACAAGCTCTATCTCCACAGTCAAGAAAGAAGAAGAAAAGTGTGAGGTATTTTGAGACTGAAATAGTACAGCCACTCAGCCCTGCTGCCAGGGTGCTCCACCACGTTAGCAGCACAATGTGAAATTAACCACAGAGAGGAAGATCTGCTTCAGATGCGACTCTGTGACCTGCAGCAAAGCAAACAACTCACTGAGGGTTCAGGAATCCCACTCTCATCCACCTCACATAACCTGAGAGCAGCTGCCTGCATCCTGCCCTGGGAGAGCCCTCTGCCTGCACGTACTGCTGGGGTGCTGGCAAGGCAGTGAGCACGGAGCAGTGCTTCCATGCCAGGGATGGGAGAGGAGATTTTTCCATCTCAAAGGACACCAGCTGAAGTCAGGATGTTTGCAAAGTTTACACAGCTCATCACAATCATATCTGACACGCACCGTGCTGCAGACACCCTGCTGCAGATAAGGACTGCAAGTATCACTCACCAACAGGCATTACATATTTACTAATGAGTGAAATAACGAGTAACTTTCAACAAAGAATGGGAACAGAATCGTGCTGTTTGGTTCTACGATCTGTTTTTTTTTATTTTATTACATGCCAACAGCTTGCAGGGTATAAAGCACTCAGTAAAGCTGTTCAAACGCAGCTGAAGAAAGCCAAACACCAATGGAGTGCGGCCAAGCAGCGTGACATTAAAGAGAGATCACACAGTGCTTTCCAGCACTACCTGGAAATAAAGCCTTACCGTGGTCACACGTGTTGTTAAATGCCACCATGTGCTCCCCCCATCCAACTGACAGGGCAGACCATAAGGGTTTTGATGCCTGATCAGCAGCTTCATTCAAAGAGGAGATGGTTTTCACCGCCTATTGCAGCAGGGCTGGATGGTTCTGATTAGCTCAGAGTTGTGTTGGCAAAAATACAGCATTTTGTCTTTAAAAATCACCATTGATCATGTAGATAAAGGAAATGAATGGGTGGCCTAAGAGAAGGACAAGGTGACAAAAATAGGAACTTGAGCCCAAGTAAGCCCTCATTAGGAGGCAACATTTAAAACCTGCCCCTGTGTTTTGAAACAAGCAAGGCTGAGCCAGAAAAACATCCACGACCAAACAAAGCAGAACTCAGGTAGTCTGCTTCACTAACTAACCCTGATGAAGGCAAATCAGACATTTTCAGACCGGCTCCATGCATGAATAAAACTTCTACAGGGTTCACTTTGGGACTCGGCACCATCCCCATAGTTCTGACATCAACATCTCCCCTGGTATTTGGAAACCTTTCTTCACTACCAGGGAGAAAAAAAAGTTCAAGTAAAAAAGAAACAACCTCCCTCTTCTCAGCAGAGCTCTTGATAGAAGTGAAGGGGCAGGGATGGAACAGGGCACCCATGCCTCTACCAGAAAAACAAGAAACATTTTATTACACATTAACCAGCAGCTCACTCTTATTCTGAACTTGAGCCAGCAAAGGGAGGTCCCAGCGCAGAACCCTGCGCCTGTTCTGTCACTATGCATGTCACTGAAGGTTAGAAGGCAAACCCCAGGAGCTGACACAAGGTACAGGACGTGAAGTACCTCACAGCTGAGCTCACAAACTCAAACCAAACTGAGAAACAGAAACAAGACTCTGCTGGGTCAGGGCCCTGCGCTCAGCACGTCGCAGCTCAGGGCGCAACACAAGAGTCCTCTAAACACCCCCAGCCCTCCCTCCTGCTATGAGATAAGCCCCGTGCAAACTGTTGCTGCTGCAGGAGGTTCTCCCCTCCCAGCAGATAAACAGCCATCTCTCAGGGCTGTAATAAACAGCTTGCTGTGGGAAACAGGCTGTGAGGTCTTCGTGTGCAGGGCACAATGCTGCTGAAAGGGAAAGTTCCACCTAACGAGTCCTGCAAATGAAGCATAACACTAGGCTTCTCCCCACAGAATGTTTTAATTAGTTACTTGTGCCCTGATTAATCAGTATGTAACTGGCACTTGGAAAACCTTCCAAGCACAGATCTTGAGTCACTGAAAAGAGGTTGACAACCCTTGTCTCTCTTTTACAGCTGCAGAAATGAACTGAAAAGAGCCTTGAATTGCTTCCTAAACTCATTAGCCAGAAGAGAAACCAAGAATAAAACCCAAGGCTTGGTATGCCCACAACACATGGGATCACATCCCAGCACCAGCGTGGGTAGCAGCAATCACTGTCTGAAGAGTTTGAGAGCACAGCCCCTCCTGGGCACACAGACACTGCCCAGTGATGCTGCACCCCCATTCAGCTGAAGGAGCCCTTGAAGCTGAGCTCCCTGCCCCTGTCCCCAGCCAGGACAAGGTTAGGAGACCTCAGCCACGCAGCTGAGGACAGAGAGCATTCCTTAATACCTACACCTTGTGAAGTATTTCCAAAACACAAAGTTACGTGGTTAGTTGAAACGATGCAGAACTTCAGCTGGAAAATAAAACTAAAGTTTAACCCCCTCACTTCCCAACTACCAGAAACATTTACTCACTTTTTCACGTTTGCCTCCCCGTTGGGAATTCTGCGTAGCTTCTTCTTCTTCAGAATTTTCACAGCTCTCCTACAGAGGGTTTCAGAGTCCAGCATCTCCTTGACTTTGCCATAAGATCCTTCTCCAAGCAAGTCTCCCATCAAGTACTTGCCAATGAGCTTGGCCCTTTTCCGCCGTGGCTGGTAGATGACTTCAGTAGAGTCAATGCGATGAATAAAAGTGTCCATCCCCACAGACATCAGCTCGCTCTCTCCAAACATACCCAGCTGCTGAGGCTCCTGCATATCCATCCTGGATTAAGTTCCTTAACTTGTCTTCCTTAAGCGCTCAGGGTTTTAATCCTGTTTGTTTGTTTCCAACACTCCCTTTTACTCCTTCTTGAAAAAAAACATCCAGAAGATTGTACAAACATTAATTAAAAAACAAAACAAAACAAGAAAACAAAACAAACTATGAGCTGCTTCCAGCTCAAGTGGATGCTAAAAGATCCAGGTCTGCTCCAGTAACGCGTCTCTTAAGAAGAATATATAGCTCTGACCAGACACGATCAGGTTGGGACTCGCTTTGCTCCTGGCCTGGTCCCACCTTTAGGGTTCTTTCAAGTCACCTCGGCCTTTTGCTTGGCCCAGTTTGTGAAGGTAAGTGCTAGGTCATCCTGGGGACCTCAGACCATCACATAAAACAGACCACTGCCAAGTCTCGTTCGTGGCTTTCCATTCCCAGCACAGGCACCAGCTCCCAGCAGGACGGTGGGGGAAGCACTCCTGCCCTGCAGCCTTCACCTTCCAAGCACTAGAGCAGACGTTCGGGCTTTTTTCAGCCGTTTGGAAGCTGGAACCAGGTTTCTTTGAAAGAGTTTTCAGAAACAATTCTAATTTCTTCGCTTTTCACGCCTACAAAAGTTTGAGGCCTTCGGTGCCTATTGAGATCTCCCAGGGGCATCCTTCAGCCACCTGGATTGCGCCTGGCACATGATGTGTCACCGCTGCTGTTCCCAGGCTCAGCGGGCGTTGGACAGCCAAACCCCACCGGCAGAAAGCCAAACCCCGGAGCTGCGCGGGCACAGCGAGGTGCGGGACGGCTCAAGAGGCAGCAAACCTCTGCGCCAGGCGCTCCCAGCGCCCCATTCCCCGCCCGGGTGCGGGTAGAGGGACGGACTCCTCACAGGCCGCCCCCACAGGTGTCAGCGGGGCCGGAGGAACAGCGCAGAGCCTCCGAGGAGACGGAAGGAGCGAGGCGGGAGCAGAACGCCGTGCGCCTGCTGGGCCGCGGGGACGCCGCCGCCGGGAACCGGGCTCCGCGAGCGGCCCAGGGAAGGGCCTTCCCCGTGCGCCGGGGCCGCTCCCTCAGCGCCGGGCCCCGCGCTGCGCCGCCGACACGGGGAACGGAGCGGGGAGCCCGGCGGCCTCGTCCTCCCTCCCCACTCCCGGGCCTCGCACCGGGCCGGGCCCCGGCGCCGCGCTCCCCTGGCGTCCACCCGTCTCAGAGGGATCCCCACCGGCCGCCGTCCCCGCGCTGCCCTCACGGACTCGCCTCAGGGCCCGCTGCAGCCGAACCGCGCCCCTTTAGCCTCTCCGCCGCCGCCGCAGCGCGCACGCCGCCGCCATTTTGTTTACCTCCCGCCCCCGCCCGGCCCCGCCGCGCTCCCGCCGTTGCCCCCCCCACCCCGGGCCTTGCGCCTCCCTGGCGACCGACGTCCGCGCCCATTGGTCACCGTGCCGGCCCCGCCCCCGAGAGCTCTCTCGCTGATTGGCTGCGGTCATGCCACGAGGAGGCGGGGCCGGCCCAGAGGCTTTCGCTTCCGGTTGGCTCGCGGAGTTTCCAGCCCGCCCTTTCACTCGGGTAGAGGGAACTGCGCCGTGATAGGCTGAGGCAGCTGTCCGTCAGCGCCGTCGGCCGTAGGGGGCAAAGGGCAAAGGGCGAAGGGCGAAGGGAAGTGGTTGCCATGGAGACGGGTGGAGGAGGGAGTGGCGCCGCGCATTGGGCCTGGGCCTGCACCGCCGCGCCCTGGTCGTCCCGGGCGGGGCCTGCTGTGCAGCCCGTTCTTAGCGCTGCACCAACGCTCCGGAATCACAGCCCGTCTGTTCTCCTGATCCCTACGTTCGGTGCTAAACGTGACGCGCTAAACTCCTGCCGTGCGTGCAGGAATTCTGTCAGCAGACGAGGCCCCCCCGTGCTGCCCTCACGCACTGCCGCCATGGGCCGTTCTGCAAATCCCTGCTGAGCGCTGAGGAGGCCGGCACCCATCAGGCAGTCCCAGCGTGTCTCCGTGCTTTTGGACATTAACGAATAGCAGATGGTAAACAGCTCGGTGCTGCCTTTATCTGTAGGCTCTCAGAGGTGAAGCAGGGAATCAGCGGCCCTGAAACAAGGCCAGCATTGGGCTGGAGGGCAGCGGCTGCTTTTTGCTGTGTGTTGTCGCTGTGTGACCAGAAACAAAGACAGGAGAGGTTTGGATGAGTCAGAGGAGGTTCATGTGCATGGCAGTGTCCTCCAGGTGTCCACCCGGCTGCTGGGGGGGGGACCCAGCCATTGAGTCTCCAACACTGCCAAATCCCACAGTTCACCACAGGTCTGTTCTCACCAACTGTCTGTCCCGACATTCTCAGGCCAGAGGTGCTGTTAGTGCTGCTGTGCCTGGCTGTGCTCTCATTGCATCACTCCTTCACACCCCATCCTGACCTTTTGGCTGTTTTCTCCTCTCGAGAGGAGGCTGGCGGCAAGAATGTTACTGCCTTTCTCCTTGCTGGATCCCAGCAGCAGCATCTCAAGAGCACCACAGAGCGGCAAGAGCTGCCACCTCCTGGCCGAGCTCAGGGCTTCGTGTGTCCCAGTCTCCTCATACCCTTGTCCCCGCTTGTCCCTGCTCTGAGGCCCCTTGCATCCACAGCCCTGCAGAACCTACCTTCACTCGGTTGCTCCCAGAGGCTCAGTCCTGGAAATGGCATCACCTCCAGCTATTGCCATCTGCTTTTGGACAGTGTTAGAAAAAAAGTGCAGAAAGCATTGGAAAAAACTTTTCCAATATGACCTATGTAGTGGTTCCCTTGGGATAAGTTGAGATTTTTGTTCTTTTGAGTTTTGCACTAAGGGGTGTTTTAACTCCTTCTTCTGGAAGTGATTAAGCTCCATAGAAATCTCTACTTTTATTTGAAAATTAAGAACAGCCTGCCAGCATACATGGCCATACACACAAGTGAGCTCGGTGAACATCAGAAGAAGAACAAAGAGGGAATCCAGCACAGTAGCACTGAGCTCCATGAGCCTCTCTCCATCTCTGGGCAGCAGGAGCTCAGGGCTGAGAACACCAGACTGAGACAGGATCAGAGAATGCCTGGACAGAAGGAGGCACAGCTGCCCCAGGACCAACAGCTCTGCATTCTCACTTCCTCAGGGCCCTGTAACACTGTGTTTGTCTCTGCTCCCTTATAGGCTTCTCTCATGATAGTGCCTGGCCACATGTGATTTACTTTGATCTTGGCACAGAGTCCAAAGTGCTGGAAAGCGATCGCCCAAATTCTGGTAAGTGCTGTGTTTCCCCTTCCCAAGAGGGCCGGGTTCCCAGCAGCACAAGGGCAGAATCGATTGGAAAACATCCACACCAAAGAACCCCAGACAGGAGCAGCTCCCACTGCCTCCTTTGCAGCTCCCACCCAGGCTGCATCAGCTGCGCTCTGCTCCCAGGAGGTGACGCTCCAGGAAGAGGCTCCCCAGGACTGAGGGGGCTTTGCAGATTCCTCTGTTGTTCTGGCACAGGCCAGCCACAGAGCTGTGGCTCCATTCTCCCCCTCTGTGCTGTCCCTTGTTAAAGCTGTAGGGCAGCATGGGCCAAGCTGGGCCCAGAGTACCCCAACCCAGTGGAAAGTCAGGGGATTTCCAGGCTGTGGGAAGAAACAGGAACTTAGTGCACGCAATGTGTCCAAACACCCTGACATGGCCGCAGCAAGCAAGCTGTAGCATGCTTGCAAGCCAGCACTGCTGGATTGGGGCCCTGATGTTCGTGTCTCTGATCCTGCTCCCCCAGGACCTGCTGCCCCCCAGAGGTCCAGCTGCCTGGGAAAGGCTTATTCTGGGGAAGGCAAAACACTTGGGATCATAGACAAAGGTGCTTGGCACAAAGCCCATCACTGACTGCAGCAGGGGCTGTGCTGCAGCCTCAAGAACTCACGGGGGGCTTTCCTTTGTGGTGCTGCTGTCTCCTCGTACAGCAACAATGCTCACCCCACCTCACGGTACCTCACTACCTCATGTGTGAGTCCTTCCCTTCCTAATCCAGAGGTGGTGATTAGGATAGAGGCTCCATTGCTCCTGAAGAAGGGGTTGGGAGGGGACTGCAGGGTCATCAGGTTCGTGCCTGAAATGGGATCTGGGGTGAGAAGTGGAAAGGAGGCAAGCACTGTGTCATGGCCCCAACTGCTGGGATGGCACTGATCAGGAGGAGGCTGGAGGGATGCGTGCTGGTTCTTCCAGTGTTTGCTTTGTTCACAGTTGTATCATACTAAACAAATAACTCTAGGGGATTTTAAGCCATAGAAATGCATGATTGTAGGGCAGTTGTTGAGTCCCAGCCTGAACCACTGATTGAGCACCCAGGGAAAAGACCCAGTCAGCCCTGAGAGCACAGGTGAAGGCAATTCATCTGTGCAACCAGAAGGGCTGGAGCCTGTCTGTTCCTCTCTTACACCCCATTTAAGGGTTGACTACCCCAGGGAAGGATTTCTTTCTGGAGACCCCTTCTTAGTGAAGTTTTCCCCCATGAACCTGGAATCTTCTCATACAGGTAAACAATTTTCTTCCACAGAATCACGTTTTCTTCACATGGATTTCCCTTTCTTTATAGCACCTTTCTGTTTTGCTGGTCCTTTCATCATCACACCTTTGCTGTAATGCCTTTCCTGTTGTACTGCTCTATCCAATTGCTACAATGACTAATGGAGCTACAGCAATTGTTCTCAGAGAGCTCACGTCCTCAAGGGAACGAGCACAGCACTGTAGGGCAGCGCTATCTGCAGGATGTCCTTTGGTGCTACTTTGGTGCCTGTGGCAGCATGGGGTGAGCCAGGGCAGGAGGTGGTGTTGGAGGTGTGACTTGAGAGAGTCAGAACCTCTCACGTTAAGCTCTGGAGAATGGATGTTTCAAAAAACATGACACAACTGCCTCGATTAATGCAAGCAGATGATTGAAGTGTTCTGAGAGCAGTGCTTGTTAACAACAAGAGCCCAAACATGACGAACTCTGCATTTAGGTCTGAGCAGGACAAAGGGAGCTGCCTTTGTGCTGGGCAAAGCTAAGGCCACATCCCTGGCTGTGGTGTCTTAGGGTGCAGGGCTCAGGGGCTGCTCTGCTCCCCCCGTGGCAAGAGCCCAGCGCTCAGAGCTGCAGATAGAGACGGCTCTGCTCTGCTGGCACCTCCCTTCTGGGAATCAGCCGGACGCAGCCCTGTTCTGCTCTGCTGAAGATGCCAGTGCAAAAATAGTCTTATCTGGAGTGCTTCTTTACGTGACCCCGTGGGGAACTTTGTTCTCGTTGTCCTGGGACTGAACCGGGGCAAAGATCCAAGAGAAGCAATTAAAAAAAGCTTTAGGAACGGGCGGGAGGCGTCGGGCAGCCTGGGGGGGCGCAGAGCCGCTCCTCCATCGGGGCTGCAGCGCTCCAGGGGTTCAACGCTTCACCTCTCCGCTGTCCCACAGCGCACCGCAGCCGCCCCCGTCCCGCAGGTGGGAAAAGCGGGGAGAAAGAAGAGACAGGAGCCCCCCGCGGTCTCCAGGAGGCGGGCGGTCGGCCTGCAGCCGTTCCGCGTGCCCAGCCATGCCTGCGCAGCCCGGCCTGGCCGCCTCGCCCTGCGGAACTTCCGCCTTCTAGGGGTGGCGCCCTCCGCCCACTTCCGCCCGGAAGTCCGTGTCCCTCCCCCAAAATGGCGGCCTCTGAGGGCGAGCCAGAAGGCGGCGGTGGCCGCCAGGCGGGAGCCTGAGCCCCCCGCGTAGGTAAGGGCCGGGGGCGCGGGGCGGGGGTCGGCTCTTTGCGGAGCTCCGGTTCTCGGCGGGCGGAGGGCTCCGATATTGAGGGGCGTTGCGGGGGCGCGGGGCTGCTTCCTCCGCTCCCCTCGGGCTGCTCCGTGTCCGGCGGGTCGGGTGTGAGGGGAAAATCCTTCATCGAGGGCTGCTGGGGCTCCGCCGCCGCCCGGAGCCGCGCTGTCCCATCCCTGGGGGCGTCCCAAGGCCGTGGGTGGGGCCTGGGCAGCCCGAGCTGGTGGGGAGCACCCAGCCCACGGCTGAGGGGGTTGGAGGGGCCCTTCCGACCGCCCCTCGGTTCTGTGAGAGGCGAAGGGGCCTCGGAGTGCTTTGTGGGCTGGTGTTTCCCAGTAGCAATCTCCCTTTGAAAGCGAAAGCCAGCCTTGTCGCTGCGTGCAGCCCGGTGTTGAGGAGGGAACCGTGCTGTGCAAAGGCAGAGTTCTCACTTGTACGCTTTGTTCGGCCGCTTTTGAATCGAGCGCTGCTGAATAGACTTAGAAACCGTCAGCACAGCCTCGAAGCCCGTGCCTGTCTGTTGTGTTGCGGTTCTTAATGGCCCTATTAAGAGCCTTTGAAGGATAGGGCTTGACTCTTAACTCCGGTG